ACAATCTTATATATATATATATATATATATATATATATATATATTTTGAAATAATAATAATAATATTAAAAACAATATTACTTCAATTACGTAGAGGTTGCCGGACCGCAATTTTGAAGGCCCTACACTGGCCCTGAAACATATACGGGATGGTTCAGTGAACCAGCAGTTCTAAGTCGGTTCATTAAAAAAATAATAATAATAAAAACAAAGTCGAACAATTTATTCTGACTTGAAATCGACCCAATTATTTAAAAAATTACAAATATGTGGCCCAACAACAAACCCGCTCAAACTACGGGCTCGATTGACCATGGGCCGATTCGGCCTTCTGGTGCGCGGTCATGTCTCTTTAAATGTCTACACTCACGTTCAATGGCTTCCATTTAGCTTCGATATGTACGACGTGGCTAAATCGTCGCCGCAGATTACAACCTCCAATAGACGACGATTTCTCGTTCCAACTCTTGGGAGTTGGGACATTGTTTTCGTCAAGCTCTGTGCAAGGAAAATACAGCTGATTTGAGTCCATCCCGTCGGATTTAGCAGTTTTAGGGTCTCAACGCATTTCATTTTTATTTTTATTTAATTTCCCTCAAAACATTTACTAAATTATCAAGTTTAATTATTTTTATTTTTTTTTTATCGTTTCTTCGTTAGCAGAAACTCGAGTGAGAATGATGCCTAGGTGGGGTAGAGCTTTGATCCAGTTAAGTAGGGTTAGTAATTTTCAGAAAAATGCTGACTTTGTGAGGAGGGATTTGTATGCTTGTTCGTTTCGTAACTATGCAAAGGTTGCGGCTACTAATGTGGAGCCAAGTGTTAAGTCTGATACCACTAAGCCTGAGGTATTGAAATTTGAAACATTTGATATTTTCTTATGATGATTTGAAAAGTTTATTTCATAATTTTGTATCCGATGTTGTATTTGTTCTCTTTTCCCAGTACACTCTTGGATACGAGGAATTCCATTGTTGTTATGTTTGGACATTGGACCACATTTGAACTGTCTATGTTTTTGTTTTGTGTATTTGTTGGGGGTTTTTGTGGAAGGTACCCGAAATTCTGGGTTGTGGGATATGGTAAACTTATCCTGTGCCTCAATCAGATACAAGGTAACCGGAGTTATCATGATATATATTGGAAAGTGACTCAAAATCTTTGCAGATGTAAGTGGAAAAGACGATATGCATCCTTGTACTTCTTTCCTTTCTGTATTTGAGTTTGTTAATAGTTGATGGCTTAATTTTGAACTAGAAACTTTCGGGTGTCGGTAACTATTGTGCATCATGGAGTTTAGCATCCGCGCTTCAGTTATTTGTTTAGAACTGCTAATCATGTTATCCAACGTGCCAGCATTTTTCAGTTAAAAGACAACAGTGTGATGGGCTAAGGCATCACATGATCAATGTTCATTGAAGGCTTTTAGGAATGTAGAAACCATAATCATATAATCATATCAGATATTTCATATTAATTAATCAATTAATATCAGACTGTTGTGAATTTTCTGCCAATTTCCATAGGTTACCCTTGTCATACTTACAACGGGAACATTCATTTTTGGGCTTATGCTAACATGATGTTCTGTCCAAGGTTATGTTAATTGTTGCGAATGACTGACTCGCCAAATGGGGTTGTTATTTGGTTTGAAAGTTATAATAATTGCTTGCCTTTTGTAGAATTTCTCATTGTTTGATTCGCTAAAGAAACATGCATCTGTAGGTGAACCTTAACAAGATGTTCTGGTCCAAGCCATGTTCAATAGCACTAGCGCCTGATTCGCCAAGTAGGATCGAAGAACCACAATATGAGGGCATGAAGCGATTAATCCTTAAGTTGATGCTATTCTACAGCAAACAAAGCCAGCACATCCGTTGGGCTAATGCTATTTACAGCCGTGTGACATATCAAGTTGATAGACCGGCTATATATGACGGTCAGTTATTGCTCATTTTGAGGGTTTAGAATAATAAATCGGTAAATGGAATGCATTTCAACTGAGGGCTTGTTTCTTGACATCCCTTTTAAAGCGTTAACCTTCTGGACTAGAGAAAGACTGTACTAAAAGACTGGCCAGTGGTAAAAACATTTTTCAAGGAAATTGAGCTTTTGATTTGGCTAATTTTCATTTTTGGGCTGCAAGAAATTCTGATATCCTGCGCATTTGTTCCACTGTTCATTTTTGTGATTTTATTTAGCATTTGTCACATTCCACGTGCAGTGTTTAGCTTGGAGACGACATTCAGAACAACATTTTCATTGCTTGTGCTCCATATGTGGCTTTGTCTACGTCGTCTCAAGGAAGAAGGAAAAGAAGGTGTTGAGTTGGGGCAGTACATATATGAGATATTTAATCATGATCTGGAACTGAGGGTGTCTAAGGCTGGGGTGAGTTTTCCACTCAGTTCTCTTGCTTATAGAGTTGGAAATATCATCTATCCCTGCATTTTACATATACTGACAGTTGATGGTTTTAAACTGCAGGTAAATTTACTGCTTACCAAATGGATGAAGGAGTTAGAGAAGATATTCTATGGAAATATTGTTGCTTATGATACTGCCATTGGGAATCAGGATGAACTGCAAAATGTTATTTGGAGGTAATGAAAGCTAAATGTTATTTAGAGTTTCTCATTTACTGAATATATTAATGTTAGTTTTGCTTTTGCATGCTTTTTGATAGCATATGGATTTATGTGCTACTATAGTGTCAATTATAGTTTCAGGTTGATTGTTGTTCTAATTTGTTATTTAGGTTGTAATAATTGCTGCCTGTGGGCTTTTATCACTTAAAGCACTTTTAGGGCTAAGAGTCATATTAGTATGTTCTTTATGGCTATTTTCTCATAATTGTCCTTGGCTCTTAATTCTTTCTTCTCACCCGCCTATATATGAAGTCTCTGGGAGTTTTAGGACTTGCTGGACATATAACCAATCCCAGGCTAGCTGTGACTGTTAAACCATCAACTTACTCCAGCTACACATTGATAATCGAGTTGTCATAAACAAATTACTCTGTGTTTCTACAAATAAATAGATTATTCAATCATTATATTCTGTTCTTTACTCTACTGGCAAGATGGAGCCAAATTGAAGTAACCGCATGCCATATTTAAAGAACGTGATGTTACTGATGTTATTATCCTCTAATACTGCTTTTTTTGTGTGTGCTTAAGGAATGTGTTCTCGGATGAGGGAGCATCTAAACCAAGTGAGGGTGCCTTACCGTTTGTCCAGGCAAGTTATCATATCTACTAATCTAGGCAAAGTCCAAGTAGTTGATATTCATGACCTAATCCAACTTTGAATTTGTGTGAGTTCTTACTGTTCATTTACTTGATTCAAAGTTACAAAACGATGAAAAAGGATCAGAACCAGGATTTCATCCTAAACAATATAATGAATAATTCCTTTTTTTCGTAAAACTTGAGTTCTGTTAAGTTTGAGATCTCATTCAAGGAATACTAATGTAATATATGCAAGCAAACACACATTTAATATGCATGTGTAAAATGTACCCAATTCCCGAACTAATTGTGTTAACTTCCAAAACCATCCTTAGATTTGAATGAATATATCCACATCAAAATTTCATTTTAATCCATTTTCCTTACAGTCGAGATATTGTAAAAATTGTGATATTACCGGGAATTGAAGATTTTTCCGATTGTGAAATTTTTTCAACTAGATCTTAAGCTACCAAAGAATTGGAGAATCTGGTGATTTGCCCTTTGTTATCTGTTTGCAGATTCCCCCAACTCCAGACCGTGCGTCAAAGTTAATGGATGTGTTTGAAAGTTTCACTTATTGATTATTGTTGGTTTACTTGTCTTCACAGCACATTTCTTAATTTGGGCACGAACTGTGTTAATGTGTTTAGTAATCTTCATTACATGGATGATTGAAGATGCAGGAACCTGATGTTATTATCTTTAATTATCTTTAGGCAATGACAAGGTATGTTCGTCGAGAAGCAAGCTGTCTATCATTAACAGGTATGCACAAAGTTTCTGAGTATTATTTTGTCAGAATAACATGAATTATAGGATTGTGCTTGAAGATTCCAACCCCACTTTAGAAGAGAAAAAAAGTAACTTCGTTTAAATTTCAACAACCCACCCTACCTGTTTAATGGCAATGGATTAAATGTTGCAGAACATTGTACACAATTTTGTTAAGAAATAAATCGAATTAAGACTAGTGCATGTATATTAGATCATTCAGGACTAAAATCACTTTTTAGAGAAAGAGTGATGTATTACGTCAAGTGTTTTTTTTTTTTTTTTTGNTTTGAAGAAATCTGTACTATGTTTGATCTAATAATTACGTAAAAGTAGCAACTTCTAGATGATGATTTTATGATTACATATTCATGTAGATAAAGAAGCCATATTATCCGGAAACTTCATGTTCACATCATTGGAGGATTCAAGTGCCAATACAGTGAAGAAGTAGGTGCAAAGGTTTAGCAGGTCATGTGTTAATTAGTCGTTTTGCGAATACATTGCACAATTTACCATGAACAAAGTGCACTACAGTACCTCAATAGTACGTTCTGCAAAGAAATGAATGTCTGCCCGAGTGCACGTTAAAAATGTTTCTGGAACTTTACCCAATCGGCTTATGTTGCTTTTGTTTGGATTGAGAGCTATATGGCTGTGTTGATCTCTGCTGATGTCAAGTTGTTCCAGTAGACGTTTATGGATGTGCTGTTTTCTGAAGCAGCAAATTGTGATGTTCACTTGCACTCTCAGTAATTTTTTCATTTTTTAAGCACAATATTATATTTTTTCATACATAAAATGAAAAAAATTACTGTGTTTTGAAAAACTATACATTTCCAGTGCACTTTCTTTTTCTTTTACTGATGTACAGATGCTTCTTTACTAGTTTAGAATTGGAGCAAAATTTGTTTTGGTCCTAAAATTTGACGTCATAAATTAGTACTTTAATATGTTCCTCATAAAAAATATTCCGGAAAGTTGTTAGTGTTTTACTTTTGGTACGCAGTCGAGCCAAAAATTTTATGGAGCCATTGGATGATTTTCTTTTGAAGTCATCCATAACTTTATGTACTGACACATGTTCAATGTGTATTTATTGCAGGACAAGTGTCAATACACCATTTGTAAATAACTATGGATGACTCCATAAACCGAGCCACTCGATGGCACTATAGCAAAATTGGCAGCCGAGATTAGCTTTTACAAATTATTTGAATTCATACTCAATTAATGCTTAAAATCTAACTTAATTTTAACTTAATTCTATTGTCCTCGATATTATTAAATAATATCAACCAATCATTCTTACGCATCACATCAACTTTAATTCATTATTCATTCACTCATACAATTTCAACTAATCATCACTTCACATCATCTCTCTTATATTTTTACATCAAACTAAATTTAATTATTTATTTTAAATATTAATTTAAAATTTGACATATCAAATATTATCTTGATTTATTATACTTAACTTTAAGGAATATATATCTTGACTTATTATGAGTATGATATTTATAAATCTTCGACATATCAAAAATCCATCATATGGAATCATGCGAGTTTTTAATGCATATCAATACAAACCGTATAGTAATACAGGCCCAAGCCATATCAGAACCCAAAAAACTCACCCCGACCCCACAGATCGAAAACACCATTACCAGGTACTGTTAATCATGCCCTAAGGCACATATCGTCTTTTAATGATTTGTAGTGGGCTTTCCCTTTCATTCTTCATCTGAGATTCCCCTGATTTTCTTTCTTGTAGAGGGCTTGTAAAAAGCTGAGTTCAGTTATGAAATATTTGGCTTCATACCGATTATGTGAAACAAATTATGAATACAGACAGGCATAACTTTAACTCCAGGGACTAATTCCCAGGTTCGATAGTAATATATGTCATTTCTCTTTCTACAAAACTAAGCGTCACAAAATTTCAAGATTTCCACAGTTCACCACACTACACCCAGATAATGCAGCTAATGTGGGGAAAAAAAAAAAGAAAAAAAAAATCATATTCGTGGATGACTTATACATTGTGCTTCTTCCTGATCTTGCCTTTGCCGTGATGCTTCCTTTTGGCCAATTTGATCTTCTTCTTCAGCTTCTTCCCAATAGGCTTCAAGATTTTTGAGCTCTCATTGCCATCAACCATCTCCACATCTGTTAACAAGTAATGTCTAAATCAATACCCTTTTTTACACAACCCCAAGATTACATTTAAATGCAAATTCATAGGTAATGCTTCCTAAATTGATAAAGATTGCATTTTTTTTTTCTCTTCAAATTGTGATTCTTGTGAGTCGAATTCCCAGGTTACACCAAGATCACAATTTTCTCGGCTTCTGAATAATTTTTTACTCTAAATATGCAGCCACAGAGTGAAACTAGGCATTATGCCTAACCAATGCTTTATGTAGAAAAAAGTTTGAGAGACAGTAAAGATTTCCAAAGCTCAATAGCATACTAACAACTAAACCTCGTAGCCACCTCCGAAAAAATCTCACTGAATTGAACATAGAAAAATCGAAATAAGCTCACAAAGCACTAAACCATACAAACTCATAAAAAAGAAATTGCAGCCTTTCAAGGATCGTCAGAAAAAAACCAAAAAAAAAAGAGGCGAAATTAAAAAACTCCAGAGAATTTGAGAAGAGGAAAGCAAGAAATAAAGAATCAAACCTAATCCATCGGAATTAGTTACTGATGTTGAGACGACGTCCATGTTGGCGGATGGAAAGGGCCTGACCGGCAGCTTGGGGGCGGCGAGGGCGGCCTCCTGGGCGGCGAGCTTGGCGGCATCTTTCTTGTCGTAAATGGGCTCAACGAGATCTCTTCTTACCGCCCTCAGTCTCTTCTCTCTCTTCGATCTCAACGATTTGGCCATTGTTTTCTATGCTCTTCGCTGGAATATTCTCCTCCGTCGGCCTTTTTCTGTTCTCAAAAGAGGAAAAGAATGAAGCTTACTAGGGTTTTGACGAGTCGAGAGACGAGACTGACTATAGGTTTTTTCTTAAGGAGAATGGTCGTAAATACCCCTGATTGACTTACTATCGAACGCAGGTGGAAAATCTTATTGGGCCTTGTCAGATTGAATATAGTTCATATGTACTGGGCTAAGTGGCTTGTTGATTACAAATTTGTTTGAGTTTTCATTGGATTTTTTCGTTAACAAAAGCTAATTTAAAAAAAAAATTGAATGGTTAGAATTGAGTAGAATTTTGAATTTATATTAAAATAATATTTAAAATAAATTAACAAAAATTAATTTAATGTAAAAATATGAGATAAGTTATTGAAAATTTAATATAACAAAACTTGTTGGGGCTATTTGTGTTTTTTGTACTCAATGGCCGAGGTCGCCAAGGTCCGAGCTATCCAATTTGAAATTTTCAGTCACAACAAAATTGTAACCTAGACTAATATGACCTGGAAACCCCTTGGTTGGATTGGCGTTTTCCATACTCTACGTCTTATGTCAGCCAAGGTCCAAGTCGTCCAATTTGGAGTTCTCAACCCCGATGAAATCGTATATCTTCGCTGCATTCATTTTGATTCTTGTTAAAGATCTAAAACTAAAAATATTTTTTAGAAATCTATCCGTCTTCTAAGAAGGGGATAGAAACCTAAAAGATGTCAGAAAAAGAAATTTCGAATAGAGAAAGGGATCTCCTAGTCGGAGAGATCGATCGATGTGTCTATTCGAATTCTTGTAGGGGAGAGGGGAGGGACTCGGGAATATGCCTGGAAACCGCAATGGATTTGCGTTTTTCATACTCGACGACCTATATCGTCAAGGTCAAAGTCGTCCAGTTCAGAGTTCTCTACCCGACGAAATCGTAAACCGCGGTTGCATTCATTTTGATTCCTTTTGTTCGCCTATTTTGCACATCGATATTGATGAAAATATGGGTGTGATCTCCTTACTGAGTAACGTCGTGACAGATTCTTGGATTGTACTTATCCTATTTATGGGCATTAGAGAACAAAAAAAAAAAAAAATTAAAAAAATAGGTCACGATTAATATCCAATAGATCTAAATATTTCCTGACATAAAAGACATGATTTTTATGATCATATATCAATTTTTAATCGTTATCGTAGTCACTCGTTCGACCAGATAGATAGTAGACTTGTTTGGATATAGAATTGATGCAAAATTAGAGGATTCAACCTCACTCTATATGACAAATATGCTAACTAGTTTGTTTGATAAATAAATTATTCAATTTGCATTTTGGCCGAAAATATTAATGCTTAAAAAGTTGATCAGTATAAAGAGGACTTGTAGAATAATATGTCAACATACAATTTTTTATGTCATTACAAATCTCATCAAACAACTATTTACAATCATTATTATAATTTATTAGTCAAATCAAATATCTATACTATATAAAAGATATACTATATAAAATGGATCCTATTTACTACATTTAGTATCCAGAAAAGTCAACTAAATTAAATAACATTACTATTTCGGTATTAATATTTTATTTAATTGATTTATTTATCTATATATATATAATAAGAATTACCATTTTTAAAAAATGACAGGTCAACTATATGGTCAAATTCTCTCACCATTAATTAATTTCCATTAATTATAATTTATTTATTTATTATTTTCTTAGCAAAAACGGACCAACATTAATTGATTTCCTTAAAATGTGGAAGTTGTTGCTTTATTTTTGTACAGAAAATCGGGCTTCATTATAGAAATTTGTTCAATTACACAATGAATTTGCTATGATATAATTATTTTTTATGGGAACTTTTTTTTTAACAGAAAAATATGACATTTCAATAAGATTTTTGATTTTTTAAGACTGATTGTTATCATGCTATGAAATTGAACATTCCAATATACCTTAACAAAATATATACGTGTTATATACATCAGTTAATAGAAATATAGAATCCTCATATTTTTATATATATGTATGTAATTTTTCTATTACCAAATTTAATTGATAGTTGTTGTGTTATGAGTTTTTCATAATTGTTACTTGGTTGTTGTGATATTTAGTTTGGTTGGTGTCGCAAAAATTCTAATCTATACATATATAATAAGAATAATCATTATAATGCAAATTAGAAAAATATTGATATTAGGAGTGATATAGCCACATAAGGATAACCCGGTCCAGAAGCTCCTTACTCAACCGGCGAACCACTCGAACAAGTCGCATGTCGACATGACTCCGTCGACATGCCCAAATCGACTTCACTAAGGTTGATTCTACTGAGAGCAATCGAGAAGAGGCAGAAATTGGTCTAGTCGACTCTCGCAAGTCGACCTTAGTCTATCGACTTTCACTAGTCGACATCAATGAAAGAAGAACAGCAAGAGTATAACGCCCGAGCATCCCGATATCCTAAGTCGACTCTCAGCAGTCGACTGAAATAAGACGACTCTCTGAAGACGACTTCACCTCAAAGAATTAGCCAAGCGTAACCTCCGAATCCGCACATATCTATAAGTCGACCTCCTAGCTCTCGAAGTCGACCTCGCATACCTCGAATAACAAAGATGTGATGACGACTCATCACACTTGCAACATGCTTAAAGTTCTACACATTACAAAGGATAAGAAGGAATCTGGTGATGACTCAGCAACAAGGGGAGGCGAATCGACCAGGGCATTTTGGACCTTCTAGGTCCACCGACCTGGGCATTTTGGGTACTTCAAGTAAGTATTCACTCCTATATAAAGGAGGAGAGGTAACTCCAAACCCTAACTCTCATTCATTCCCATTCTCCCCCATAGCTTCTGCGCAGCATCTCTTCATCACTCTCATACTGACTTGAGCGTCGGAGGCTCTACGCCGAAAACACCTCCGGCGTTGAGTTTTTGCAGGAATCCCGCGGTCTAGCAACGATTCGGAAGCGGTTCAAGCAGATCTGAGCTCAAATCCACCGGTTTACTCCAGATCTGGAAGTAGACCCATCAAGGAGAGATTGAGTTCATGGCTTTTCTTAAAATCAAAGTTCTTTAATTAGTATACAAAATTAAATTCTAAAAAAATATATGTGTATATTTTGTATATTATTTATACACTATTTAATTTTAAATTTATTTACATATTTTAAATTGATTACTTATATAAATAATACCAACGTGCATTAAATATATTTCATTACATAAAATAACAAGAACAAGAAGACGTGCAACTTCTATAACTTTATAAATAATAATGACATTATATGGCAACAGAGGTTATAATAAAATAATAGTTGACTATTATATAGTGAATAAGAATAAGTAAAATTGTTATTTTCTCTTATATCAAGGAATAAATATATATAATAAAATTAAATTTATATTAGTATAAATGTGTTAGTGAGATAATATATTAATTATTTTACAAGTTAGCCCTAACATGCTCACGTTTAATTTTCTGACTAATAAAACAACGCTGATTAAAAGATGTGAGAAAGAGATTACAACTCTTTTTTTTAGACTTAACGGTGATTAAAAGAGGTGGAAAATGGATGTTAACCCTTTTCAGACTTAAACGGGACTTAACGGTGATTAAAAGAGATGGAAAATGGATGATAACACTTCTCATACTTAAACGGGACTTAACGGTGATTAAAAGAGGTAAAAAATGGATGATCACCCTTCTCAAACTTAAACGGGACTTAACGGTGATTAAAAGAGGTGAAAAATGGATGATAACCCTTCTCATACTTAAACAGGACTTAACAGTGATTAAAAGAGGTGAAAAATAGATGATGACCCTTCTCAAACTTAAACGGACAGAGTTTATGAAAATAATTCATTTAATATCTCTCTCCCGTGCATCGCACGGGATATATATTAGTTACAATTCATATCAATTATTCACTAATAAAATTAGTTATCCTTATATAGTTCATTACTTCATTTAATCAAGGCAAAATAATTTCACCATTGAGTGCGTATCAAAATATATGACTTTTCTATTTCTAAACTAATGCCTACGTAATCTACACATTATCAGATTACATGTATTTATACGGCTACAAAATACAACGAAATCGGAACTATCCCGTAACGGGATAGTAGCATTCCTCGTCTATTTATTTCGAAAGAAAGACTTGTCGATCAAGTCAAAAAAACGAAAAACACAGTACAGTTAAATACAGACCCCCAAACTCATCCAAACCACCATCAAATGGCGATCGAGAACTCGCCTAAATCAGCCGAGAAAATCGCCTCGATCGATCATCTCCTATCTCGAATCCTCTTACTCCTCCCTCTAAAATCCCTCCTCCGTTTCAAATCCGTCTCCAAACCCTGGCTGGCCCTCATTTCAAGCCCGGAATTCTGCCGCCTCCGCCTTCCCTACCCCAATCCTGCTGCCGGCCTTCTTTTGCAGCCCGCCAGCGACCACCACCCGGTCGATTACGTCCCGTTTCGCGCCGAGAATTCCCGGAGATTCTAATTTGCCGCCAATTTTCCCGGCGTCACGATTTTGCAGTCCTGCAATGGCCTGCTCTTGCTCCGGTCCAAACACGGGCACCACATCTACAATCCAACGACCAATTCCTGCTCCGATATTCTCGAACTGGGCGAAAAGTTGGGTGAAATACGTGAGATGAGCTTGGCTTTTGATCCGCCCGAGTCTCGTTACAGCGTTATTTGCGTCCGGTCGCTTGGGACAGATTATTCGCGGTTTGTAATCGGAATTTATTCTTCTGGGACCCGTTCATGGCGGCCGTGGGGCGATCCTTTCCCTGCCGACGTCGATTTCAGAAAGGGGGTCTACTGGAAAGGCGCGGTTCATTGGGTGAGTGTAACGGGAGGTAATTCCCTGTGTTTCAAGGTTGCAGATCAGGTGCTCGATAAAATGCCTGTTTTGCCTCATCGGTATATACCGATTGCTCGAGCTTTTTCGAGCGATTATTTATTGATTCAGTCTTGTGGGAGCTTGCATTTTGTTGAGTACGTAAGAGCAGTCATTCGATTTGAAGTGTACGAGATGAGGAGCGATTATTCGGAGTGGTTTGTTAAGTACCGAGTGAACCTCTCGCCGGTGGTTCCCCGCAATCGGGAGATGGATTTTGGTTATGTTAATCCGCTGGGATGGTTTAACTGGAATTTCTCTGTCTTGAGCATTGTACGTGGGGAACGTGAGGAGGACTCCTTCTTGGTTTTGCAGACCCCGTCAAAAATCATTAGGTACAATCTCGTTTGCCAGACTTTTGAAAATTTGTATGAGTTTGAAGAGGGTGTTGTTGTCGAGGGCTCTTTGAGATATTCTTGTGTTGGTGGATTCGAGTACATTGAGTCTTTATGTTGTGTGTAGGATTTGATTTATGTTGCGGTTTGAGTTTAAGAGAATATGTATTGATGTTATGGTACATTTGCTCAGAAATGCTAAGATATGTTGTTTTCTGCTTCGAAACTCTGAATTAACTAGTTTTCAAAGAGCAACAAAACAAGTAGTTATTATACAGATTGCTTTATCTGGTTTTGGTATGAGATGATTTTGTAGCTTGGATAAGACAATAGGACGTAGGGCCTGATTATGTTAAATGGTAATAGAATAAGATAAATAGTTGAAAATCTTTGTATTTGTATTTACGACCATCTCAATAAACGGCATATGTGTTGTGCATAGTAGTCAGATGAAAATAGTTTCACAATTGCTTTTCCCTCTCGCATCTCAAAAGGGGTTCAGATAATTTTTTTGTTGTCATTTTTTCCTTTGTGCAATTTAACTGTTTTGCCTGGCGGTTGGTCATGTATTAGACCGACCTAACCGTTAGGCTGAAACAATCTTTTTATAAATTTGTATATTTTCGATTGAAAATATCGATATCATTTTCTAGAAAGCAACATGATGAGAAGTATGATATTTGAATTTCGTAGTATAAATATACATTTTTGTTTCAATAGGATAACAGGTTGACTCGTGTAATAGCTGCTTCATACAAGAATTTGTATTTGTTTTATTATTACATATTAACATTGATAGCTAAAAGATTTTATTGGTTATTTTCAAAAATCAATGGCTGTTGAATAATTTATCAAGCACCACCTATATTATTAGCTAAAATTTTATACCATCCTACATTTTCAGCATATATATGTTCAAAGTGAAATAGCATACATTATAAAATAATATAAAAGTATAAAAAAAGTACAAAATATCATACGGTGAAAATAATACAAATAAAAGTATAACATATAACATAAACAATGAGGGAACCATATGAGGTCCAGGGGTCCCCTCATTTTTTTTTTTGTAAAAATCAGCATATATATAAAGAAAACTAGTATGAGTCCTATGCAGAGCACGGATAAGAGATATTCATTAATATTTATAAATTAAAAATTCTTATTAAGTAATATTTATAAATTAAAAATATGGAATCAATATGTAATACAATTACCTATACTAGTTTATTGAAAATGTTATACGAAGTTTAAATTGTACAAAATTAAATAAAAATGTCAATTTAAAATTAGTACACAACCCGTGTGGTGCACATAACTAATAATAAATTACATTATATTCGTTTCAAAATAAGTATCATTTCATAATTTTTATCTTAGAAATTCGATTTGACTATAATGTGATTCTATAAAATAGTTATTTTGGTAAAATGTTATCATATATTTAACAGCCTACGTGAATAATAAGTATAAGTATAAAATTTATTTTGTTTCATTACTTAAAATAATTTATTTTGTATTAAACTATTCAAATAAAAAAATTAAGTAGTTGAGTAGTTTATTAAACTATAAATAATTGACTATTTCGTTTACGTCCAGGTTAATATTAACTCGTAAGTTATTGAGTAATTTATTAAACTATACATAATTGACTATTTCATTTACGTCTAAGTTAATATTGATCCGTAAGTTATGAATAATTATTTTTTTATTTTTAATTTTAAATAAAAATATTTTATTTTTTTCAATTTATTATATACCAAATTTAAATCATGCAACTAATAAAGGTAATAGCTGCAAGTTTTGTCAATATATTTTATTCTAAATTTAAATCATGCAACTAATAAAAGTAATATTCGCATTATTTGACCAAAATGATTTTGTACATTAATTACATTAATTTAGGCGGAATTTTTTAAATTTTGGCAAAAAATATTACTCAATATAGCAAAAATTTTAGGCGGGAAACCAAATATTTTTTTTTACTGATTTTTAGTTGCTATTTCAAGTAAATATCATTGTCTCTTTATATATTAATAGATACTATAAATATATATATATAAAGAAAGAAAAATACTATAAATATATAAATAAAATACTATAAAATATGTATAGAAATGCAAAAAATCTTTACAATATATTAATAATTAAAATTTATTTTCTATGTTGCTTTAGCTTAAATTAGTAATAATATTTATTTATTGAAAAATGTACTAACAATTATTATAGTTTAAATTCTTAGATAAGCTTTTGAAAATATTTATAATGATTTACTCTTGAGAGATTTATTCTTTCGGTCTCTTAATTGTAAATGATTTAGCGATATAGAACCAGTATTTAGTTGAATTGTTATGTTTTTTAATGTTGATTTTTTTTGTTTGTGTAATCACATAATTTAAATTTATTTATTTTTTTCAGAAAAGATGTCCATTTGGTAAGCTCTCATCCACAAAAATGTTATGCAATGTGCTGTAAAAGTTCAAATTAAATCAAACTTTCAACCAAAAAACTTATTTTTTTCATAACTTATAGGTGTGGAAGTTAAATTATAAGTACCTAAAATCTCATTTTTTTTTTAAAAAAAAAAAGTTTGATGGTGATGCGGATTATAAGTTTTTAAAAACTTGATGGTACATCGATCGATATTTATATTTATAGTAAATACACTTTTATATAAAATGAGTGTTTCGACTTAAACTACAAACTCGTTATTTAACATTTAAAATTGAGTCCCCTTGAGTGAAATTCCTAGATCTGACACTGAACATAAATATATACATTTTCTAACAAAATATAAACTACTACTCGATCTTGTACACATGCACATGTACATGCATAAATAAAGTATTATAAGTTGTATGTACAATATTTATAAATTAAATAGTTATATCACAATATAAAATTATTTAACTACATATGAACCATTATATTAATTGCATAAAGTTCAATGGATAATAATTTTTTTATCTAAAAAACATTGAAATCATTGTTATAGTAATTGATTATGAGATTTTAAAGGGTTTGCTTTTATGTCATTAGAACCAACTAGCTAATTTTAAAAACACTTAATGAGATGAAAATAAATATTAATTTTGAAATAAATAGCTTGAAAAAAAGTTGTAATATAATAACTTATATTTATGTAACTTTTATATACCAATTGATGTAAATTATAATTAACTAGTTTTAGCAATAACTATTATTTGCTAGAATAATTAAAGAATATTATTATATTTTAATTAATGTAAAATGTAACATATGTTAATATAATTAAATTAAAAAATGGGCAAAAAAAAACTTTTACATTAATTGTATAGCTGAAGTTTGTGAAATAGTAAAGTTATGTTTGGTAGACAAATAAGTTAATTTATAGCTTATTTGGTTACCTTATAAGTTCCCTGATTGTAAATATATATGATAAAAATGTTTAATAAAATTAATTGCTAAACTAGTTGAAATAAAAATTTCAACAAATTTATTTGAAAAACTATCCAAAAAAGCTTATTAAGCTCGAATACTTTAAAAAAGTTCGTCTCACTACATGGCTAGATGGGCGGCTCAAAAGTAAATAAAGTATATTGACGTTGAAATGTAGACAGCATTATTTAATATATTTAATGTAAAATCATTTCTTATAAAATCATTTCTTTTGCCGCCGGCCAAAGATTTCTTTCTTAACCACTAAAATCCAACATAACGTTCGCAGCCTTTAAAGCAATTCGATTGGCTAAAAAATGAAAAGCAAAAATAACATAATCACAAAAATATTAATAAATCGTGGGCATTGAAATTTGAACCTCCATTTTCTTCATTCGCACGCGTTTATAATCAAATTTCACCTCCCAATTCCTAGCCAAAAAACGAGAAAAAGAACAGGGGGTAACAAAACAAAAACTCCCCTTCAAGAGGTTTTGGCATATTCCCATCAAGAAGAGAACAATTTCTTCGAATCCCCACCAAAAATCTATACTTTTCTTCCTCAATCGCGCCTCCCCTTGACCCCAGGCGTTCAAAGATTCAATCTTGGAGCTGAGAAGCTACGTTTCGATTTGGCCCACAATGAGCTTCGTCGAAAAGTTCCTCCTTTTCTTGTCCATTTTGCCCGTCGCCTGTTTTTCTCATGAAGAAACGAGTTTTAGCCCCCTCATAGTCGAAGTGCCCGAGATGAACGGCGCCGGGTTGGGAAATTGGGCCCCAAAAGAAGCCCATTTGGAGTGTACGAGCTGGAGGGTCTCCGTGGAGGCTAATAATCTGAGCCCATGGAAAACGATTCCGGTGGAATGCGGCGAGTATGTGAAGGACTATATGACTGGTAAAGGTTATGAAATTGATCTGCAAATGGTGTCGAATGAGGCTGCAAATTATGCGAGGAGTGTTGATTTGAGTGGTGATGGGAAAGATGCTTGGATTTTTGATGTGGATGAGACTTTGATTTCTAATCTTCCTTATTATCAACAACATGGTTATGGGTATGTTGGTATTCTTTCTAGTGTTTTTTCTTTTAGTTAATTTTCAAGAAGTTTTGTTAAGTTTTGGCCTAATTGCAATAGATTTTGGTTAATCTTTAAAAATTCAAAATTTTTCTGTCATTTAAGTATTGTTTTGCAAAAATGGCACTCATAAAAGGTGTTTGTAGGGTAGATATAATTATAGCTATTTGTAGTTTTCAGAAAATGACTGTTTTGTGATAAGTCTTACTCATACAAGGTTATTTGTTGGGCAAATAATAATTTTAGGGGTATGTTTAGTTTTTAGAAAATAATTATTTTTAGTAGTGGAACCGATTTTTTTTTTTTNGTAATTATTCCTTTATTTTCAAGATATTGTATGTTACTTTTTATTTCAACTACCCTTATTAATTAATTTGACAGGTAAGGTTAATTTGATTGGAAAGGTAGACCCGTTTATAGTTGGCTGATTGGGGAGAAAGTTTGAAACTATTATTTCTTTTCCCTTTCATTTCCCCTCATTTAGGTTGTTGTTATGATGTTTTTGTAGACTGTGGTAGTTTAGTGTTGGACATTCATCATGATCTAGTTGAACTTGTTTTAACAACTTATTTATGATTCATTCTATTGAGGACAAAGTTGCAAATGTAGCTCTGAATTTGAGGTTTGTTCTTATTTTTTCTTTGATAATATCATCATCATCAACATCAACATCATCATCATCTTGGTTGTTTGACGGTCATGATTGCATTTGCCGACTTATCAATCTTTGAGCTTTAATTTCTAGTTCGAATTTCAACTGTATCGACTGTTGGTTTGGTAGTTGTGTAATTCAAAAGAGTTATTCTTGTATCGATTTTGGGCTCCATCTGATGCGCCTTTTTTTCTTTTTTCGTTATGATAATATAGCCTGGAGATTTTCGATAGTACAAAATTTGATGAATGGGTGGAGACGGGCATGGCACCTGCCATAGAGCCTAGTTTGAAGCTTTACGAAGAGGTTTTGAAATTGGGATTTAAGGTGATTTTATTGACTGGTAGAAGTGAAAGGCACCGAGGTATTACTGTCGAGAATTTGTCGAGAGCTGGAATTCGTGAATGGGATAAGCTCATATTAAGGTGAGAGCACAATGTAATGATTTAGCTTCATAGTCTTATCCAAAATCGATAAAATTTTGCCTAGAAAGTTTGATAATTTCACGTATGCTCGAATTTCTTGCAGGTCCTCAGAAGATCATGCGAAGACCGCAACAAAGTATAAGTCGGACAAGAGAGATGAGCTCGTTGGGGAGGGTTATCGAATATTGGGAAACTCGGGGGACCAATGGAGTGATTTATTGGGTTCGTCAATGTCTGCCCGCTCGTTCAAGATTTCGAACCCCATGTATCACATTCTTTAGACCTGATAAGGCTCTCTTTATGAATTGTTTTATGATTTAATGCTGAAAATTGAAACAACTTTGTGTACATTATATAATTGGGTGATTGGGACATTCCTTTTTCACTTGACCCTTGAAAGGAAGCAAAAGATTATGTAATGAGACTATAATGTGTACTGTGACTAACCTCATTTTAATGTTATTATTGTGACATTATTGAATAAATAACTATCAATTTCAAGCACTATTGCCCTTCAATTTCCCATTGGTTGCATTATTTTGCAAGAATGTTGGCATGTCACATAGGATTAGTAAATGGGCTGTCCATTCATTGAATTAGTGCCAGGGTAGACCCATTTGTAGTGGGACTGTGTGTGGGTAAAAGTGGGCTAAAAACAATAAGTAACCAACTATTAAAAAATATTTACATAAAAAAATCAATTTGGGAGAATTTCTCCAATTTGGGGTAATTCTATTGTAAGGCTTGACTTTTTGTTATTGTTTTACAATAGAGCTTGAATTTTCAACTTTTCATTTGAGGGTTTTAATTTTAAAATATTCTCAATTAAAGGCTTACTTTTACATTCTAGTTCTCAATTTAAGACACCAACTAATTTTATATTTGTACATAAATATTTAAACCAAAATACTATTACTTTGAAATTTATATTTTGAATCGTTATAAATATCTTTAGTAAAATTATTTTAGTAAATGAACTCATTTAAGCTAAATTATTTTTGCATAAATGTAACTTATTTGAATTAATTTTCTTACGAAGCTAGTTTTACAAATATATTTAATAATTCTTATAGGTAGTAATTTATATATTCTTAATTTTTTAAAAAATATAAATTTTATTCACAACAATATTTTTTATAATTTTATTTAAATAAATAAAACTATTTTTCTAAATAGTTCATTTTTTAATGTGATCACATATTTAAAAGAAATACTAAACAAAAGCTAGTTGGCGAATTAATTTTTCATTTTATTAAGCTAAAATTAATGAAGAGCTTAAATGAATTATTTTTTCTAAATTTTTTCGTTACTACTGAACAATTCTCAATCGACTAGCTTTAAGTACAACTTTATTTTTTGTTACATTTATGAAAAATTAATTTAGTTTAAATGAATTAATTTGCTTACTAAATTAATTTTACTAAAGATATTTACAATTATTTAAAATATAAATTTTAAAATAATAGTATTTTAGTTTACATAGTTATGCACAACTATAAAGTTAGTTGGTGTGTTAAATTGATAACTAGAATGTAAAAGTAAGCCTTTAATTGAGAATAGGCAAAATTGCAACTCAATACACCACTTTTCATGTTTTTGCAATTTAATCACCATCTTTGAAATTAGGCAATTTACTACACGACCTTTACAACTTTTGCAAAACGAACCATGACTCACGGTACCGCTTATAGAAAACTGACATGGCATTAACGGAAGTTTAGAGGCATTAACGTGGCGATGCTAAATCCAACTAAACAGTTAAAAACCCTAATCCCTTCTTTTTTCCCTGTATGCCCAAATTTTTAAATTCCATCCCCATTTCAAATTTTCAAAAGTCCAAAATTTTGGGACGCGACTCTTTTGGCCATCAGGTGGAGCCTACATATGCTTTTATCCTCAGGATCCCAAAAAGACGAATCAGTCATTTGCAATGTAGACTCTCTCATCATTGCCAAACAGTTCAACAACTTCAGAGCTCCAATTTTCTTTGATATTGTTTTGCTGCTAGACTTAGTCCTGCCTTGTTGCTGGCCATGACGGCTTTGAAGGGGAAGTAATTGTTATTTCTCCGTAGCTCTGTTCACTTAGCCACTTTGGTTTGTGTTTGATTTGTAAGAGCATCCACACTGCGTTGAGTTCAATCCCAAAAAATTATACCACATAAGAAATAAACTCAGTCTAAAAAAATATATTCTCCAATGCAAATAAAAGTAGTCTGAGTCCTGCTGATGTGGCAGTCAGAAAAAGAGACTCAGTCTCCCCTTAAGTCTATTTTAGACCAAAGTAGAGACATAGTCTCTTTGCCTTAGAGTGGATTTTATTAATTTTACATAGTTTTATCCATGTCATCTAAGACTTGGATTTATTTACTTGCCACATAGGCAAGACTAGACCCAATGCATTGAAGATGCTCTAATCAGTTGATTGCACGCTTGTTGTAATTATCTCGAGTTTTATTTAAATTTTTTTTTATGTTTGAAAAAAAAAATCTTAGTTGATTTATTATTTTTTTTTTTTTTCAATTCCAGTGAGTTTGGAGCCAAAATCAAATTCTAAAATCTCAATGCCATTATAAGTAACTTTGGAGCCAAAATCAAATTAATTATATATTATGCCCAATTTAGCCTCACCTTGGTATTCCCTAAGAATCCAAATAGCTCTATGTTTCACCACTTTATTTTATTTATTTATTTATTTATTTATTTTTTTAATCTTTAGACCAATCCATCATTGGAATGATGCTTCTTTTTAAGACAAGAAGCTCAAAATCCCAATTCGACAATCAAGTCAAAAGAATTTGGTAGCTTTTGTAAAGCTGTAAAAAGGCAATAGAACCTGCCCTCCATTTAATATACCGTGAAATTAGGACCACTAATATAATGGACCATGCAAAAACATCACGATTTCTTGATGTAATTGATACATAATTTAATACCTCTCCTAACTTCTTATTTTAGTGTATTTGCTGGTAATTTCTCATTACATTGTTTTAAACTATTTATTTGTTGGAGTATTACTATGAGATTGTTAATTTATAATTTCTTAATATTACCATTGACATATGGCAATATATTAAGCTAGGTATCATATCCTGGACAGGCCACATTGTGAAAATATCCGTTGGAATAGTGCTGTACTTATAATTGCCTCAATTTCATCATGTACATATTATTATATTCTGATTTTTTTTTTTATGGTAGCTTCATAATAGTATTTTTGAGACGAACTGATTAAACAAATGTAGCAATTTGACTTTGCATTGTGACAAATTATGTATAGATATATATATATATATATACAACACACACACACACACACATATATATATATATATATAATTGTTAGCATAAATTTTATGGCAATTGTTTTCATTTTTTCGTTATTATCCGTTACATTTTGCATTAGTCAAGGAATTATATATTTTGTTATTTTGTTACATAATAACTACTATTACTAAATAATCATAACGGCACATTAAATGTTATTCAATTCTAGAATTTTTTTTCAAATTATTTATTTAAAATTATTATTATTGTTTTTTTAAGCTCATTAAGCACATATTTTTTCACTAAAATTAGTTAATTATTTTTATGTCATAACCAAACCTTTTAAAATTTCATACACAATTACTATAATTATAATTTCAATATTGTATTATATGATTAATTAGTCATAATCATTCAAAATTGCAAAAATTACATTATTACAATCAATATAAAGATTAATATGTAAGCTAAATGGTTTATATTTATAATATGTAAGCTAAATGGTTTATATTTATATAGTTTATTTTTATTAATAACAAAATTTATAAAATGTGATATGTCTTATTTAACTTATGGTTTTAAATATTATATACAAACACATATAACATAAAAAATTTATTTGCACTTGTGCATAGGCACAAGATCGAATACTAGTGTATATAAAGAGCGCTAAAGAATTTAATGTAAAAAGTTTTCATTTTCTGCTCATTTTTTGAGGTAATTATGACAAAGATCATTATATATTATATTATGTAAGTAATTATTATATATTTTTTACATATCTATTATATAATAGTTACTATTAAAACAAACTAATTATATTTTTACACTAAATGGTATATGAATGTTACATAAGATTATATTTTTTTTTTTGGGAACGAAAGAGATAAGCTTGTAAAACTTTGTCTTTAATTTATTTGTTCTAAAATTAATATATATTTTTTTATCTCATAAAGAGATTGTCTCTTAAGTAAACTAATTAAGAGGTTTTAATGGTATAGTCAAACCCTTTCAAATTGGATAAACAATTGTTATAATAATAATTTTAAAACTTTTATAGGTATTTAATTAGTTATGATCCCTCAAATTATAAAAAATTACATTATTCCTTATATTTTTTTTTATCTATCAATATAGCGACTCATATGCAGTTAAATAATTTGTACTGTTTATATAACTTGTAATTTTAATATTATATCCACATATATATAACTTATAATATTTTATTTAGCTTTATGAATACAAATAAAACCGAATACTAGTTGTTACTTGAAACTTACCTTAATTATTTATTGTGGCCTCAGTACTTGCTTAATTAATTCCAAACTGGCAGATAAGTTCGGTCTAGTTAGTTAGAGGCACATGCATAAACAGACATAATATGTGTATAGCACATAATATTAAATTCAATATACCACTTATGGACTCAATTAAATTCATGCCATTTCTACACAAGCACATAATATGTATGGTGTATATGTGTATAGCTATAGTACGTATATTGACTAAAATAAATAGTCACATTTGGTTTTAAATATCCTAAAATAAATGTTTTATTCAAGTCGAGCCGAGTCAAACGTGTCGTTTTTTGAGATCGTGCTCGTTTACGCTCGTGAAAGCTCGGCTGGCCTCGATTCATTAAACAAGCTCATCTTTTTCTGTTGAGAATGATCGTTCATAGGAAGATTTTGGTTTGATTTTTCATTTAAAATCTATAGAAACCGATAAAAGTAAATCAATGACAAGTTAACGAATGAATGACTTGACCCATTTAATAAATGAGCTATATTGATTGTTTTGAACGACTCGAGTTCAAACTTGCACGAGCCTTTCTACTCATAAGGAAAACCTATCTATATATAAAAATGTTTGTATTTATTGTAAATACTATAATTTTCCAAAAAAAGTACTTATATAACATGGAATGTTTTGAAAATTAATTTTCAAGACAAAATAAAATATTTCGCCATAATCCGAGCCACAGTTATAGTTGAACTTCCCAAATTAAAAAATGTAATTATTTATAAAATTCAGTTTTCTAAAATGATTTTTTCTAGTAAATCCTTAATTCATTATTATCTATATATAAAAAAGTTTGTATTTATTGTAAATACTATAATTTTCCAAAAAAAGTACTTATATAATATGGAATGTTTTGAAAATTAATTTTCAAGACAAAATAAATTATTTCGCCATAATCCGAGCCACAGTTATAGTTGAACTTCCCAAATTAAAAAATGTAATTATTTATAAAATTCAGTTTTCTATTTTTTTTTTCCAGTAAATCATTAATTCATTATTTTTTGGTAAAATAACATTAAAACACATGGTAATCTATATATATATAATAAGAACTAACATTTTTCAAAAATAGTAAGCAAAAAAATAGGAAATATTAATTACATTCCATTTTTGGTATGTTTTTCTAATTTTTTTAATAAAAAATCAATTAGCATTTAATGCTAGCACAAATCATGGGATTTGTTATATAGATGCATATTTGAATTTCAAACTTCAAACAAAACATGCATAAATGTATTTTGAATTTTTTAGGGAAAAAATTTAACAAACACGTTAAAGATTTCATACAATACATATATTTATATATATTATCTTAACATATAGGTTAATTAGTTTCATATCTAAACAATATATATTTAAACAATATATAAACAAATATAATAATTTGTCGTACAATACAGACAAATATATAAACGATATATTTATTTACAAACATAATAAAAAAATATAGTAAACAATACAAACAAATATACAAACAATATATAAACAAATATAATAACTTGTCACGTGTATATTTCGTACAACACATATATTTATATATATTATCTTAACATATAAGTTACTTAGTTTCATATCTAAAACAATATTAATTTTAGGAACTTAAAGATTCATAACATTACTGACATCATGTATATTTATAATTATTGTCACTTACATTTTATTACAGTTGGTAACTTTTTTAAAATTATTTGAATAATTGGAAGTTGATTTGTAATTTCAATTTCAAATTCATTCAAACATTTAAAGGAAAATATCATAAGCATATTGTTTTGATACATTTCAATTTATCTCAACTTACATATAATCACATTTCTATCAAACATTAAATTTGCTTATATCTTTTTAAATTAATTACATCAATAAATAATATTAATATATATTACACATTTATCATTATATAACAAATATATTACTTCTACAAGTGTTATAAATAATAATGACATTATATGATAATAGATTTTTTGATAGATTAACAATTGAGTATTATGGTGAACCAAAATATGTAAAATTATTATTATTTTGTATTAAAAATAAATATATATGTTAAAATATTATTTATATAATAATATAAACGGATCAGCATGCTAATATATTGTGAAAATAGAATTTAAAAAAAAAAGTGTTCCAAAGTACGAAAATCCCGTGCATCGCACGGAACTCTCACTAGTAGTATACTAATTAAATGTGGTTGGGTGGTAATGTAATACTGCATTAATTGTTGATATTTTCCAAATGCTGACACCTACAATTGTGCAAATTGATATATTTACTAATTCCTCAACATATTATCATAATTGTTTAAGCTACATATTTTTATTTCATAAAATTAATAAAATATTTATTAGTTAATATATTAAATATACAGGAATCTAAAAGAGATTTTCTTTTATCATTTTTTATTTTACTTTTTTTCATAATGAAACTATTGTAAATAACGTTTCCATTGCATAGTACAGTAAATAAACTATACAATTGTAAGATGAGAAATAAAGAAAATTCCATGATTATATAATGGAACTATTTCTTGGGAATCGATCAATCAAAGGTGTTTTAATTATTATTGTAAGTTTAATTGCAATGCATAATAGCAGAAAAAATTTAGACTGACTGAATTATTTGGTTAATGAATAGATAAATCCACAATGTGTTATCTTTCTCAATGTGGCCTTATTTTTTTTCTAAAAAAAAATTAGTTATTTTTGTGACATGTTATATATATGTGCATGAAATTATTTTTATATATTAGTTTTTATAAAATACGAAAAATTTTAAAAATTGAATAGAATCACACGTGTGTATATGGTAAAACACTTTATGCAATATATATATATTAAAATATTATTTATATTAATATAAGCGGGTTAACGAGCTAATATATTGATTGACTTACAGGTTAGCCCTAAAGAAAACAAGTTTAACGGCCGAGCAAGAAAAAAAATAACAATGATGAAAACATGTGGAAAATAGTTGATTCAATTATATTATTTAGGACTAGACGGATACACCCTATAGAAATTGGTGTCTCGTGCAACGCACGAGCTACAACTCGAACTAGATATTTAATAAAAGGTTAAAATATCTAAAAATCCTCTTGACAGAAGAAAAAATGAGAAACTTTCTGGCGGCCCTTCCTCTTCTCAACCTGCAGCCATTTCACAGCTTGCTCGGTCCTCCAGCCACATTCGGACCGATGATTGTCGTTTGCTCTTTCGCTCAACTGATCTCGGTGTTGTGACCACCGAGGGGGGTTTCCTCCACCTCGGCCTCTCATTCTCGGACTTGGGTTTGGGTCGAAGACGACAGCTCCTTCGGTGTGGCTTGTCGAGTTTGCTCCCCCAACATACGTTTCTCTTTCGGGTGAAGTCTGTGGGAGCTCAGATCTAGGTTGAGACTCGTCTTCTCGTCAGATTAGCTGCTTGAGTAAGTTGGACTTCTTAATTATGGAGTCTCTGATTTGCAGCTCTCTTTTAGTTTCTCGATTGTGGGGTTTGGCTCGTTCTGGGGTTTAGCTCGTGTGTTGGTTTAGGTGGTCATAGCGGTGTGCTCGCGAAAAACATGGAAGGTAGTATTCTATCGTTAATGTGTCTTGTTTTTTTTTCCTTTTTTATTTTTTTTTGTTGTTGTCGTTTAGGTGTGCGTGTGTATGTTTGTGGGTTTGTTATTCTTCATTTTTAGAATTTGTTAATATCCGTTGGAGTTTTTAGTTTGATTTAATTCATGTTAGCGGCTCTAAGCTACCTTGGAGAGTCATCACTCTATATTCAGTTTAATAGCTGATAGACTAAACTACCTTAAGTTGTTCTAGTTTATAAATATCTGTGTTTTATTAATTTAAAGTTTTGTTTTGAAAAAAGAAAATAAATTATCCGAGCCATACGTGTTGACCCGGTCGAGTCAATCTATAAAACGGTTCGCGCCGGGACTGGACGGAGTCTTGTGACAAGGATAAAATCATATGTTACGTCATTATCAAACCATAAAACCTTAGCAAAATCATTTTCCCATATAAAACGTCACATGGATCCACCTGCCACTACATACACACACTCTCTCTCTCTCTCTCTCTCTCTCTCTCTCTCTCTCTCTCTCTCAATCCTACACACAGTGACACAGTCTGTCTTTTCTGTCTTCCCTTCTTCTCTCTCTCCCCCAACACACACACACACAGAGAGAAAGACAGTGAGATTGTCTGCTACAGAGCTGAACTCTTTATTTTTGCCGTTCCAATCAACACCACTCCAAATGGGAGTTCATTTGTGTTTATGAAAAAACATAAAAGCCCAATCCTTCCCTATTTTTTCTCCATTTCCTTGAGCAAAATTTATTGGATCGCCCTCTTTTTCTTTCAATTTCACATTCTTGAAGACTCCCAGATCTTGTTCTCCCTCTCAGACAGTTTATGTTCTAACAAAAGGCCATAAAGCTAAGGTCTTTATCCAAAAATCCCAATGAAACAATGGAGCACAGACACAAACTCACACTAATCATCACCCTAACATCCTTATCAGCCTCAGCAATTATTTCCCTCTTACTCTTTTATTTCCTGAGAAGAAAAACAAGAAATGCGCCGCCCACAGATAAGGAGGCCGCGTTTGGGTGCAAAGAAGAAGCGCCGGTAAGCACAGGGGATTTGATTAGATTTCGGGGCGGCGAGAATCTCGGCGTTGAGGACATTCTGGAGGCGCCTGGCGAGGTTATCGGGAAATCTAGCTATGGGACGGTGTATAAGGCTTGTTTGGATGGTTCGAATTCGCTTGCATTGCTTAGGTTTTTGAGACCAACTTGTACGCTGAGTGGGAAAGAGGTGAAGCCGATTGTGGAGCTGTTGGGGTCTGTAAGGCACCCTAATTTGGTGCCCCTGAATGCGTTTTATGCGGGTCCGAGAGGGGAGAAGCTGACGGTTCATCCTTTTCATGGGAATGGAAACTTGGCTCAGTTTATCAGAGGTAAAAGAGCTGTTTTGGCTGTGTTTTTTCGTAAAAAAAAAAAGGATTATTTTTGTATTTTCGCAATCGATTTTCTTGTCATTGTGAAGACAATAGTATGTTGTGATCTTTCTGGAGTGGGAACAGGTGGTGTTAGGGTATTTATTTTGGGAAGTTTTCATATGAATTAGGACTAATAATTGGATAAATCTGTGAGAAATGTATGTGTTAGTTGTCGAAATTCAATGTCATTGGTATTGAAATATGGTGTTTTGGTGGTTTGAAATGTGTTGAGAGTATAGGTTCGCAAATTTGAGTTAATCTTGATTCAGTCCTCTTAAGTTACAAATTTTGTTTGTGCACTTTTCAAAAGATTCTCAGGAATCATCGATACTATGCTCTGGTTGCTTCTTCAATGTTGATGTCGTCCTCTCATGTACATTTAGTGGTTTGTCGTGAAGTGCGTAGGCTTAATTTAAGGAGATGGTACCGATCATATGTAACGGTGTGGTAAATGATCTCATTGATTAGTGTGGTTCTTGATTTTACTCATTAGCTAATGGACTTAGATCACAGTTTGCTAACTAAGGTGTAGAATTATTGCCTGGCTAATGCCGTAAAACCGTAAGCTTTTATGTTGCGGTACATTTTCGGATCCATTTATGTGGAAAGCGAAAAATGACAAATCAGCTCGTATTATCATTTTGTTACTTCCTTTTTTTAAAAAAAAGAAAAAAAAAATCCAACATGTCGCTCTCGAGCTCTCATTTATCACTTAGCACATGAGACAAAACACCAATCAATATAACCGAAAAACGACTAATAACGCACGACTTTCAATGTGGGACACAGATGGCAACAAAAACCCTGAGGCCCACAGATGGCCCACCATATGCAGAATCGCAACCGGCATTGCTCGTGGGGTCCACCACCTCCACACGAGGCCTCTAATCCACGGAAACCTCAAGTCGAAGAACATTTTCCTCGACTTCCACCATAACCCGCGTGTGTCTGACTATGGGCTATTCCTTCTCCTGAACCCAACTGCAGGCCAGCACATGCTCGAGGTCTCAGCTTCCGAGGGTTATAAACCTCCCGAGCTAATCAAGATGCGTGAAGCATGCGAGGAGAGTGACGTTTACTCCTTAGGGGTGATTTTTCTCGAGCTTTTGACGGGAAAGAAGCCGATTCTTGATCGGGATTTTTATCTGCCTAGCGCCTACCGACCAGAAATTGTTGAGGGGATGGGTGAGGATCGGAGGGCGGCTGTAGAGGATGGTATATTGAGATATTTCCAGCTGGCGAAGGCTTGCTGTTCGCCTTCGCGCGTGTTGAGGCCCGATATAAAGCAGGTACTCAAAGGGCTTGAGGAAATTGACAAGTGAAAGTCGCACGCGTGGATGTGATTCGACATTGCTGATTTTTGGATAGTTTCACTAATGGAAGGGAAGAAAAAGAAATGTGGAATGTAGGCATGAAAGTTCTTGATCACTTGTTTGGTTTTCAATTTTCATTGATTTAGAAAGTTGAGAATGTAGATGTGTGCAAGTGAACTTTCTGTATTCAAATTCGAAAAGTTTTGACAAAATACTATTGACTAATTGATTATTAATTGGTTAATAAAATATTGGTATTAGTTTTAGTTTTGTGTGGAATTAGCCCCAAATTTCCAAATCACATGCCTTATCAGCTTAAAGTAGTCACTATTAAGCTTGTAAACAAATCAATTTTTTTTGATTCGATTCGATATTCGAATTCGAATACGAATAATGTTTTATATTCGGAAGTTATACGAATCCGAATTCGAATTTGTAGATATTCGATTCGAAATTTGAATATTCGATTCGTTAACAATAATTATATAAATTTTATAAATTATATATAGTATACATTTTGTTTATAATATATATGTATATATATTTATTGTTATATTCCTACTATTTTTATGACATAAAAAGTAAAAACATCATAAATTAACAAATTTTCCTAAAAATATATGAAAAATAAAAATTATTTTTTGTAATTATAATATTTTTTTGAAAACGAATTTCGAATCAAATATGTTAGAATATTCTAAACGAATCGAATACGAATCAAAAAATGAGTTCGTTAACGAATCGAATACGAATTCGAATCTTCGAATATTTTAACGAATCCGAATCGAATCTCTAAGTGTTCGCTTTGATTTGATTCGTTTACAATCCTAGTCACTGTGTTGAAAACGGACAAACGAATAGGGAAAATACTCATATATGGGACAAACACAACTTATAACAACAACAACAATAATCTTTATCTAAACATTTACTAAAAATAAGATGTTAAATTCCAATCTTTTTTTTAATTACCAATATAGACTAATATTTTCTAATCATTTGGTAGTGAAAAAACTAATATGTAATCTTAGATAGGATTTACCGAGAAAGTAGTGGCCTCACCAGATTTTTTTACCGTTGGATCGATACACACAGATTTTTTTACCGTTGGATCGATACACACGTACAAGTGTATGAGTGTGTGCAATCCAACAGTAAGCCCTTACCGGTGGAGTCGAACTTGCCTTGAGATAGACTTCTTGAGCGAAGCAGAGTTTCGACCGAGTTCAAGTCCAAACCTTGATGATTTTTTTTTTTTCATCACTTGATGTGGTGACCGGTGATTTCAGTTATAAGACTTCAATTCATAAAGTTCTAAAGAACTAAACACAAAATACCAAAGTTAATCTCTTTAGAAGCCCATAATACTACTCATGCAACAATTTTGCTCATACAAACAATAGAGTGTACAACTCCTTACCTGGCAAACATATTATATGAAAATTTCATACCAGATGCATATACAACACGATTATATACATGTATCTCAATTAAAACTACTAAATAAATTGCACAAAAAGATAATTAANTACACTAAAGGAATTCTGATTGCAGTACATTACAGTGGACTGTGTATTGCACTATATATGAATTCTGATTGCAGTGTCACAATCTCAGTACAAATAGTATTGTTTTGCTAGCACAGTACATCGAATCATACTTTACAGAAAACTGCCGAGTGTGTCAGGTCATAAGTTCCGAACTCAATACTCTAGCGTTTGTCAGCTAAGGAAAGAGGGATTCTGAAGGGCTCGTAAAATGAGAGTTTTCCCACAGAGTCCTAGCCGACATCTTTCAATATAATCGATTTTTTTATCCTTCATTGCGATAGATACGTATTAATTAATAGATTCGTGTGTTGGGTGAAAGGGTAAAAACCTAATCCAAGGGACCTGTTGCAAACAAGCTGACGAGGCCGCGAAACACTTGGGCAGATAGCTTATGTGCTCGAAAAGGCTCACCGTCCACATTCCATATTCCCTCCTTTCCGGATGAAGTGAATGTGAAAGCTGGAGTCTGCAAGACGAGAATGGACAAAAAAAAAGTCGAGCTTGGATAAATAATATATAAATATAATAATATATAGATACATATTAAGGAAATGAGATGACATACTTTATGGTGTTCGACAAAGTCAAAATCTAGAGGGTCACCACTTCTCCTTGTGAGCTGTATGAGGTGCCTATGCATAAACACCGTTACATAATTAGAAAAAAAGAACAATTCTCTCAGAGAGAGAGAGAGAGAGAGAGAGAGAGAGAGAATACCATAGATAAAAAGGGTGAGGGCAATCTTTTATTAATATAAGATGCATGAACCCATCTGAGAGATGAGCATCGGCTACTAGGCCATTGGGAGCCTTTTCATTTCGGCAAGATATCACGGCTGCACCCACACTAAGAAACTGTCCTTTGGACTTTGACCATCTCAGCCCGTTTAACTTTTCAGATGGGCTTGGTGGCCCAATTAAGGGGTCGTGTGATTTTGAGCTGCATACCGTGCAGTTAGCGCGGCACCTAACCCAATTCGGCCGTTTAGGGATACACCAAAGTCTTGTATTACTGACTTGAGGATCGATTTCGGAGCGACAGCTGGCACTTTCCGATTGGACTTCAACATAATTCACTTCTGCCTCGTATGACCTTGAAAATACATTTACAAGTATAACAAAGGACTTTATTACATACACACTAAATCTGCTGATATTATAATCAATATTGTAATAATATTCCTAAAAAGAGATTATAAATATATATATAATCAATAATCACCTCAGAATGTGTAATTATGCGAATAACATTACAAAAACTTGCATACCTATGCTGAAGAAAAACTTTTGTCCCAGCATAGTCGTATCTCTTAGGTCCCATCCATCGATATTTCTCGCTTTCTGTGATGACATCTCCATAGAAGCCATAACTAAAAGTTGCCCGAAGAAAGAAAGTTTAACAGTAATATGATCCAGGCAATTTTTTATTTTTTTTTCATTTTCATTTTTTCTTTATTGGGCAGATATATGCATTAATCTCGGTAGATTTTCTCATGTTCATGGCCATAATCTCTATGAACTGAATATGGAACAACTTATCTTTTTCCACAGTGGCGAAAACTCCACAGTTTATTGGTAATATTTTAGTGCAAACTGATATAGATAGTCAAATCCAGTGTTAATAATAAAATATAAGACAGGTTTTCACATCAGATAAGGCATAATGGCAATATAAATACCCAGCAAAAGAAGCTGCATAGCGTACACAGGGTTCTTCAATTGATGCATGAGTCTCTTTCCATCTTACAACTTGAGCTATATCAAGGTCCACCCTTTTACCAAGGATAATATGCAAGGCTGATGTCACCGGGTCTCGAGCCCCAGTTGTACTGCAAAAATTAAAATAAGTCACAATAATGAGCCTAATAAAAATATCAGCTATATATGCTGATGGCAGAGTTCAAAGAAAAAAAAAATCATAGTTGTGTAGTTCAGTTACCACCAGAAGTTTTATCCAGAGGGTAGCAAGGAATTTTCTGAATTTTCAATAATGGGAAAATAAACATGAAATTCAGATATGGGAAGAATCCAGAGTTATATTTTATTTTGAACGGGAGGAACGTTTGCTCCGCGATTTTGCTGTTAATCAGTAGCAGTAATTGCACAGACTACAAATTCTAGTTTTTGTCCCTAATTAGGAGTAAGAAAAGGAGTAAGACTGACTCAAAATAAGGTAATGCTGAAGGTACCAAATCACAATGGCATCGGTTGATCCAGCTGGAATAATTCCAAATCTGAACATTTCATTAGGAAAAGGAAACTCAGGATCTTGTTCTGCAACAATAAAAGTTATAAATAAGCAAAAAAAAAAAAAAAAGATCACTTAAATTGATTAACTCTATAGTGTAATTTGACGGGTGTTTCCATAAGTTTCGGAGCTCCCTATTACCCTGAAAAATTAATCATAAACAATACAGACATAGAGATTTTTGTTGATTAGCATACCACTATTTTGGTCTTGAGGTCCAACATGTTCGGAGCCTGTGAAAATGAGGAGAGTTGACTTTATTGTGGTCATGGACTCGAAAAATGGTTCTTTCAACATTAATAAACTGAAGTATTTTCACTCACTCTCGACGGGCTGCATGGAATCAGTGGGGCTTGGTGGATATGGAGCTTTATGCCTCGACAAGAGAATCCCGTTAAGAATTTCATTGAAAAATCCATCACCACCCTAGTAACACGAAAGAGAAATCATACAAAAGAAAAATCAAGAGTACAAAATAACTATGTACATAATAAATATACTATATACAATCAATTTCTGCAGAGAATAAGTCCCTAAACATAATGAATGAATTTAGAAATTGCGGGGATAGAAGGGTACAACTACTTACAACAGCTACAATACCGTCAAATAATCTCAGATCCCGATTACTGGTTGAGGCCAAAACATCACGTGCATGCCCAGCTCTCTCTGTCACTAATACCTTTATAAAATAGCAGAGTGGATGAAAATGAAGAAGATATATCCACTATGGAAGTGTACCGAGCGATAAAATGAAAAACTGCAGTTGTGATAGCAAGCCACACAAAAACACACACTAATAATAGATAGAACCTTAAATCAGAAAATAATGCACAACACTTGTAAAGAAAATAGCTTTGACCATGTGCAGAATGTAGGCCTGCAATCTATCTGCATGGATAAAATGAGAACTAATATTTGGACAGATGTCCCTGATATGTGAAACCTTCAGTTGCATATTTCCACATCCCAAAATAATCTCCCTCGAAAATTCTAGAACCTTCAACTCGACTTCTTGATCATCTTTATAGCCAATCATGCTAATTATACACATGTATGTTAATACATTACACAATAGCACATCAAATGAAGCTCATGTGGTTCAGTGTTTTTATGGTTGTTTCAGCATATATATTCTGACGAAGATTGTTTACTTTTGACGATGTTTAAAGGAATTCTGCTGCATGTTTGAACTCAATGCCAATCCAATCCTAAAAACACATTAACTTATAATGTTAAATCGGAAATGCGCAAGAGTAGAATACATTTGGAGGACAGAAGAAGCCAAGCTAAGTGGTCATAAATTTTATTATTTACAGAATTTGGAGAATTTTTGAGCTTCCAGAACATGGACTTTCAGAATTTTGTTTCCACAGCAACACATTTGAGATAAAAGCCAAGGTGGAATTGGATTCATGCAATCCGCATAAACAATAAGCTATTACCGGATATGATTCCATAAAATGGAAAAAACAGAAAGACTAATCGGTATAACATAGTAACATACAACAAGAACAATGTTATACTGAAGATATTCGGAGAGGTAGATTTGCTGGTCTTCATATACTTTGGTCCATGATATATAACGGCAAAATTGCCAATATGTGAACAATTGCAAAAACTCTTGCATCCATAGAATAGAGATCACAAAAGAAAAAGTATAGTATCTAGTCAGATAACCTACACTCTAAAGCAGGCTCGAAAAGCATGTGGGAGGTAAATCGAAGGATGAGTTTTTTTTTTTTCAATACTTAAGAGAAGTCGATAATGTACCTTTGTTTTCACTTTGGCTTTAAGAAATAGTGGGGCTACTGCTTCCCAGATTCTACATCCTTGTCCTTTGCCACTCCTTGGGTGAACAAAGACCTAATAGATACAAAGTAATGTCCAAATCGAACAAGAAAAAAAAAATCAACATAAAAAAAATAAAAAAAAATGAAAGGTATGACTGTATGAGACATAAGATTGATTATTCGTAACACCCATGTTTTCATAAAATAAGTTTTCATTAGAAATGAGATTAAACTGACATTTGTAATAAAATGAGTGCTGCATTTTCGGAAACAAAAGTATTGCTATTAGTAGTACGGCATTTGACTCAATCAACGAAATGTAATGTCAACGTATATGCTTCGGCTCATAATAATATGATGTGGAAAACGTGACTGATAGAAAATAAGCATACAATGCTGGAATTA